CAGATATTGGGCTGTAACTCTGAGCGAGTATAAGTGATGGATATTGGGAGTTGCAATCCAATAACTACTTGGAAGGCCACATCTCCAACCCTGATTTAAGTAGTAGATCTTGTTGGAAGTGTGGCACCTCCTAGATTTCAGCTTTTAGGTGCAGAATCCATCAGATGGGAAGCTAATCCCATGGGACACCTTAACAAAACCAGTCACAATGTGATCTGATTGTTTGGTTGTTTTAGGGTTGGGTTTGTTGGACAGCGTTGTATTCATCACAGTTATTTTTTGGAACAATTCCATTCTTTCTTCAAATTGGGTCATCAGACAACATGATCCAAACTAGTTAACTCACCATGAGTTTGAAACAAAGGCCTGCAAAGCACATTGCTGTAGATTATGTGTTTTGCAGGCCCCTGCTTCCAGTTCATGGCATACTAGATGGTTTAGATTGCTTCAACAATTTGGCCCTGCAGGTTTTTTGGATTACAGTTCCTATGACCCCTTACCACTGCTACCATGACTGGGGTTTCTTGGAGCTGAAGTTCAAAACATGTAGAGCCAACAGTAACCCATCCCAACTGTACTGAAAGCAATGGTGGGAATAACGTTTCAGTATTATTTGGAACATGATTGCAGGGATTTACTCCTGGTCTCTTTCACACTGCACCATTACAGCATTTTGATGCCACTTTTACTGCCTTGCCTTTGGGGCTTGTAATTTGGTGAAATATTTAGAATTTTCAACCAGAGAGCTCTAAGGCCTCACCAAACAAGAAGCCCCAAGATTCCATAGGATCATGCCATGTAAGTTAAAGTGTAGTATACTGCTATAGTTGTCCTTTTGTGAAAGAGACCTGCACTATTGTAGTAATCAGAGGAGTACAAAACATGAGCAAAAGCTACCTGCTCTGGCTTCCTCAGGAAATGCCATGAACTAGATGATGCTTTCCAACTCTTCCAGGCTATTGTATGCTTCTATTTCTAATAATCCCTGATACCTTTAAAAGGAACAGGAGAATAGTAGCTTGGGCAATCATTGGACTGTGCACACCTTTTAGCAATTTGACACCAAGCATTGTGTTGGAACCCCTCTTAATTTGTTCTTGTTCACTTGGACAGATCTATTTTGCTGTTTAAGGAGATTCAAGTCCAGGAATTCAGAGTCCTTCTGATACTCCAGGAAAAGCAAGGCAGTGGAAGTACATCTTGTTTAAGCAACAGATGGAGAGGGGTATGTGAGAGATACAAACTCATTTTTGAAACCAGTATGAGTATATACAGTTGATTATTTTACTAAGTAAAATAGTGCACTTGTAGGTACATGGCTTATGGTTGGGGATCCTGCCAAGTGCTGCAGAAAATCTTATCCCTGCTCAGTATGTGATCAGAAGTCAAAGCAGCAGCATCTGGGGGTCTGATGTCAATGGGGCCTCTGACCATTGCAACTTTAAAGGAATTATCCACTTTGTGACTTTGGGTCACTCCTTTGAAATTTGGAGTAAAACCTGGAGTGGATTCACCACCCTACTGACATTGGATATCAGCCACCATGAATTTCAGGGAAACAGGAAGAGGGGATGACTGGAAAACTTCTCACCATGTGGCAAGCCAGTACAGATAACCAGGTTACTAAGCAGCGACAGCACACAGTAGTGAGTTACTGTGTTGTGATAAACAGTTACCTATAAATGACAGGAAGAGAAGCAGGCACAGAAACCCTTTCCAACTAGCCAGAGATTCACATATTAAAGAGAGAGTCCCCCTAAAAATATTTTTGTCCTTTTTTTAATTTTTCCATTCTCCATTTAATTATCTTCAATCTTGGAGAATCTGCAGAGCTTGCAAAAGGACACAAATTTGTTCTAGCTCCTCATTGGGATGAATGCAGAATAGATCAGCCCTAAAACTATGAGGCTGCTGTAGTTCCTACCCACCTGATCCTGATCCTCTGCATCCATTCTCACTTTACACCCTTCTTGGTACTGAAGCTTTTCTATCTACTCCCAGCCAAATGGTAGGATCATTGCTGTTGTACTGCTCTCTGTGTATACCACCTCCTTGTTCAGCCCAGTAATGTCATGCTATAAGCCAGTGATCATACTAGCTGGGGGGTTCTGGGACGTGTAGCCCAAAAAAAGTAGCTTTTCCAAAAATTGGAAACATGGCACCATTCCTGATGTTAGAGAGAGAGAGAGAGATTCCTTGGGACTATTAGACAGTGTAGACAAACAATATTAGATGAGCATGATTTCCATGTTTTATGTGTTTTGTAGAAGTATGTATACTGGACCAGGGAGTTCCTAACCATTAACTGGACTAAGCAAATCAACACCAAAGTGGTATTTTCTTTCACTGTGTTTCCAGCTCCTTAACAAACTTGAGTCCTACAAACTGATTAACTGAAAGCTCCCTTAAATGAAAGCACACTTATCAGATGCTCCCCAAAAGATTTTTTGCTGAAATCAAGTTGGCAAGGTGGCTAGCCACACAATCAAATCATCAGCCATTCTCATCTATGCAAAATATTAAGGGAGTGGCTTGGTTCTTCTTTGACTTTCGTGCCTGTTTGTGATTCATGCAGTGTTGTGTTTTTTTTTTTTTACACAGATGACAAAGAGTAAAATCTGTGGAAACTACAAAATTCTTTTTCTTGCAATGATCTTTTTATTATCGGTTGTGAAATCTTCCTTTCTACCCCTACACATGTAGACCAGCATCCTGTTAGTGACATTGCAAGCATACGTCCAATGTACACCTATATATGACTTATTTTTTTGTCATTGTGGAGGTTGATATTCTCTTTCTTCCTCTGACCAAAGTCCCCCAGGATTCACTATTTCACTGCAAGAGGCCCCCATGGCTATTCAATGGATGGTGGAGAGTGTGAGAAAGGGCATCAGAGATGTATCTGGCAATGTCCCATACCAAACACAGAATGGTTACATTATCCACTGGGACCACTGGAGGACCTCAGCTCTCAGCAGATGCTTCTCTGCCCTGCCCCACTCTCCTCCAGCCACTGAATGGCCATAGAGTGTGGGGTATCACACTGAGTGAGTTGTGCTGGGGATAAGATGGGATCTGTAGCTGGGTTATACTCAGAACTTTTACACTGTGCTCAGTGATGTAGGATCTCAGCCAAAAAGTGTTAGCTGGTTCAACTTTCAAGGGTAAGCAGGCAGTCCTACCATGCGATGCCTGCATTGGTGGTGGACTCTGAATACCATTATTGGTTGTAGAGTGGGAGAAATGTGACCTATGGGGTACAGTGCAGCAGAAAAATCCAAATCTCTTTCGCAATGAATTGTGTTTTCCATACCAAGCTTATTATTGGTCTCAGGATGTAGATCTTATGGAGTCTCAAACTTCACACTTCAGGAGGATGTGCACAAAAAGCTTTCTTTCTTATATTTTTTGAAACGTGGTGTTTCATGCACTAGTTCAAGCTCAGAAGGCAACTTTACTATCCAACAAAAAGCTGCAAACAGGTCTGATCTCTCTCCCTCCCTTTTTTCAATTGCTGGGATGTTCAGAGAGGTCTGTTCAGCTGGGATAGGAAACATGTGGCCCTGGAGATATTGTGGTCCTACAGTGACCATCATCCCTGGCCATTACCCATGCCAGCTGGAGACCAACAACAGCTGCATGGTGACAGATACCCATCCCTGTTTTTCAGTTTCCAGAGAGGATAGGGGCAAACATGGTAATTGTAGAAAAGGGGAATTTGAAAGCATCCTCACAGCGTTCAAAACAAATCTACATCTTCCTCTCCAGGGCCAAGCTATGTGCATGTGTGTAGGTTAAGGGAGGGGGGGGAGAGCAGCAATCTAGTTCTCAAAATATGTTACAAAAACTGATTGAGGATGATGTCAAATGGCTAATACCCATAACATCACCAAGGTGCACAACATGCAAGTTTCAGATCAGATCAATTGTGCAATGGCTGTTGAGATATTACTTGGATCTTTTAAGTATATATGTGACTTCAAAAAAAAATTAAAGGTGGATTCATGAGAGGGAGTTTAAGATTGCATTCAGTTTGACAAAATGTTTGTTTCTCTTGTAAAGTTGGATTCTCTTTGTAGCTGAACAACCTGCTGTGATTTCTCTTTAAATCAGAAGTGAGCAACTGTGGCAAGTCAAGGGGCCAATTTTCTGACTTTGGAACCTTCTAGGGACCACAAGGCTACTAAAAATGGAAACCAATAACCAAAAAAAAAAAAAGTTAAAGGTGAAGTGCAACCTCTTTAAAACATGACGCCACCCCTAGAGATTTCTAGGAGAGGCAATTCAACTTTGGAGAAGGTTGTTTTTCTTTCAGGGGGACTTTTGGTCAGCAAATGTTCAGTCCAAGGAACAAGAGGGTGCAAAAACAGCCTTGGGGACCACAGGCAGTCTTAAATTCACATTTTGCCCCCATCCGCACCCCATTTTAAATATTATAGCTATCTTCATTTGTAGGATGCTATCACAAGCTCTTTCTGTCTGCTTGCTCTTTAGTGTGGAAGGGCAGTTAAACTGAAGTATTCAGCAGAGGCTTTGCCCTCTAGGGGAAATCATGTATGTCTAAAGAGTTCAGCAAATAATCCACACAAGCCTACATAGCCATGTTGGCCATGCAGCACAATTCCACAAAATACAAAATCCACAAAATAATGATATCCTCTATTTTTGCAACTAAAAAGTTCCTTTTAGTTTGGCCAACTAGTGGGTCAACTAAAACTATTGGGCCAACCTCCTTTTTAGTTGGCCACTAGAGGTATCACTGTTTTGTGGATTTTGGATTTTGTTGCATTGCACACAAGGTTGCTATACATTAGGTCACCTTCTAATTTCCAATTGCTCCTGAATCTACTTCCTCAGTTCTATCATTGTAGTCTGTGGATTTGGTTTTCGGAAGAATCTGCAGGGGCTTACAATTCTATTGTCTGGATAGTTTCTTTACAAAGATCTACCAGAAACTATCCAGACAATTTAATAGTAAGGTCTACCAAAACCAAAAGAGAGTCAATATAGTTTAATGGTTTGAGTGTTAGACTAGGAATCTGGGAGACCAGGGCTCAAATCCCTGAACAGCCATGGAAACTTCACTGGTTGACTTGGGCAAGTCACATTCTCTCAGCCTCAGTGGAAGGCAAAGACAACCCCCCTCTTAACAAATACTGTCTAGAAAACTACATAATACAGGGGTGGCTAAGGGAACAGGTTTATTGGTTCTGCACCAGCCAGGACTATGTTTGGGCCCCTTAGTACAGTTTGTTGTTGTTCTGAATTATCCAAAAAATGATTGCTTGGGTGGCTTTTCCACCACATTTCTGTCAAGGGTCAAAACAAAGTTTTGTAAACTTTGTCAAAAATGTTGCTTCAAAATGCCCTCAAAACATACCCCCATGTCCCCTAGAGAACATTTGGGGGTATCTGAAGGCAAAATGTTATTCTTTATTTTATTGGCAGGAGTAGGTGCAGCCCTTCAAAGTCAGAAGGGCTAATGAGGTCCCCTAGTGTTCCACAGTTGCCCATCTCTGCCATAATAGAGTTACCTTAGGGTTAGTGTGAATTGGAAGTCACTTGAAGGCACACAGCTACAACAAACCTGAAAGAAGTTGAATTTCTTATGTTGAGAAGTGAGGACTTTGCCAAAGAACAATGGGACGGTTCTGTTCAATTTGTGGCGACATGAGGCTATTGACAACAACTGCTGGGATTGCAATATCTTGATTTTGGGTTTTTATGGTTGCTTCTCCTTTTCTCTTTCCTCAACAAAATCTCCAGTCAGAAATTACACTGAATTATGCAAATGTTCATTAGCTTGCCTAGCTTATTGTTTCATTTGGGATGCATGCTTTTGTGTAGCTTTCATTTCTGGAACTTGTAATTTGTTTGGTGTTTTATGCTACCAATATTTGTTATAGAAGGAAAGGCAGAGGGTGGCAAATAATGAGGTTTGGCAGACAGTACCTATGGATGCCCAGAAAAGATAAGTGGAGTCATCCAGACCCCACCAAAAAATTTCAAGTACTACCCTCGTATTCTCTTTCTACCCCTCTCTCCATCTCTAGAATCTTGCTTTTATTTTTTGTAAAAAGACAGCTCAGCTTCTGAAATATTGTAGCAGCTCTACATTGTATGTTCATAGCCATGCATTCTTTCTAGAACCAGTAACCCTGAACCCCTAATGCTTATGACAGCATTAACTGTTATAAAATCCCATTGAAAACAAGAGTCTTGACTTGACTGTGTTTCTCTTGGTTTCAGTAAGGTTTACAGCACAACGAGTGTATCTGCTGAGATGCAAATCACGTTAAGATTTACTACCTGGTAGTTTTAGTCAGAGTTCCAACCCTGTTGGCAACTGATTTTAGTGGGATGAGGACTATTGGATGTAAAAGATTAAACATAACAGGTTGCAATAAGAGCAGTTTTATAAGAAAATGTGGAGTAACCAGGGGCCCACTCATACTACAAAACTATGGTGCTGTTAACTACCATGATTCCATCCTGTAGAAGAATCCTGTGCCTTTTAGTTTGATAAGACCCTAGATCTCTCTGACTGAGGATAATAAATGCTCCTCCCTTAACTACAGATTGCAGGATTCCATATGGTGCACTCACGCCAATAACAATAGACTCACAGCTCTATAATTGTGTAGTGTGCCCCAAGTCTACTGGACAGTAGTATTGAATTCACTCCAAAATCCTATTTTGAACGATCTTGAGTTCCTTCAGGAAAATAACTTTTTTGATCCGGATTTTGCAGGAAAGTCCAGAGCATTCTGTAGTGATGCCAGGTGGCTGTTTTACACACGTGTCCCACAGTGCTGCTAAGCACTGCTGATGATGATGCAAGTCACTCCCTCTAAGGTCACAATGAAGCACCCAGCCATGTGATAGGTGCTGGTCAGTTTATTTTTGACCTCACAGGGAGTAATTTGTGCCAACGGTGGTAGTGCTGAGCAACACGCAAGAACACGTATGTAAACAACTGACTGGCATTGCTATGGAGTGCATAGGTAATGGAGAAAATCCAGAGCTGGTCCAGTGCTAGAAGACTCCAAGAGCAACCCAGAGTATTATAGCTGGTGTAGATGGTGTGGATGAGCCCTAAAAAACTTTCTGACTCAACAGTACTTTGATTAATATACACATAGAGGTTTTGGGTTTGTTTGTTTTTTAATGCAAGCACTGTGAGAACAAAAAAACATTTTAAAAGAGGCATTCTCTACACCCTTGCAGGAGGCAATGCCTCTTCTAAGATTAGGTCTGATCCAAAACACATGCCATGCACGTCATCTGATGACAAGGTATGTTTTATCTATGTTTATGCATTTGGATTTATGCACATTTGATGTACTGATAATCATCTCAAGATTTCTTTAACTGGGTGACACCCTAGGGATGAGCTTTCTGCTTGTAAGATAAAAATGTGTGCACTGTCCTATCTGAAGTATGGTGTAAAACGTTACCATTCCAGTTGCTATTCATAAGGTTGCCCATCTCTATATGCAGGGTGAAATAAACTTTATTGCACTTTATACATCCTTGTGAATAATCACACTGGCTTACCTATGGCAAAGGGGGAAAACACATTGGGTGACCAGAAAGGAAATGTGCAAACCAGGAGAAGGCTGAGTCTTCTCCCCTATCTAGAGAGGAGGCTGTCAAAGTGCCACAGATAGGTTGTATGGAAAGAAGCAGAGTGATGTAAATTGGAGCATCGTGTGTGGAGTGGGTTTAGTCACCTTTGTGGACTTACGAGATTGCCTTAATAATTGGGATCCTGATGTAATTCTGAGCTTGCTCTAATTTGTTACTGCAGTTAGCAATCAAAAAGACACTCCTTAGCAGACCACAGACATTACAAATTATCCTGGGCAGGAAACTTGGGATCATGCACTGCTTCCAGCACCAGCTTCAGCATGTGGTCCCAAGGATTAATCCAGAGATTAATCCCTATCAAGAATACTGGAGCATCCATTGGTTTGAAAAAGTCAGTACAATGTCCAGATTTTAATGAATCAGATACAAAAACAAAATTGGCACAATACTGCTAAATTGGGACAAGTGGAGTATATGCGATGCCCATGCAAGAGTAGAAAGGAAGCTTATTTGGACTGGCTCTCAGGAGCTGACCCAGAGTGCAAAAGGGTTCAGGTTCAACCCACTCAAAAAAAAGGAACTGGGAGAGGAGAAAGAAAGTTACCGTTGGATAAAAGAGTAGAGAACATACATAATTTGGGATAGAGAACTGGCAGATTCTGGCTGGAGTCCCATTGACAATCCCAACTAGAGTAAACCCACTGAATCAATAGGATTTACATAAGTGTAGATTCATGATTCAACAGTTGATTGAGTGAGTCTTTTATAGCTGGTGATACCAATAGATTCAGCATTCTGTAGGAAAGCAGAGAGAATTACCACATTCTGGATTGGGAAGAGCTTGTCCTAAATCTTGGAAAGCTTGAAGAGCCTGACAGACAAATACATAATTGAACTAACGTTTTCATGTTTTTGTGTGTTGCATTCAGCAGCCACCTCTACATTTCTGTGGAGAGAATTTGGTCCACTGAACTGGGGAAATCTTGGAGATACAGTTGGTATAGATGATAGAATTACTATTTGCTACCCACAAAAGTAGGCTAATGAGCTGGGCAAGCTCTCCATCCATAGATCTCTGTGTTATTGTTGTGATGTCCTACCTATTTCTAGAGCTGTGGGAATTTGCCATAACAAATAAAATCTATGTTTTGTATATTTGTCATATAATTTTTAATCAGTTATCCCTCATCCAGTAAAAATTAGTAGGGAACCTTTTGAAAAACATAGAGAAATTGTATGTGTGAAATTTTGCTTCATGCAGAGACCTGAGGTTTTGCTTTGTTTAAGCAATTATAGAATCAGCAAAATCATGAAATGAAGAGAGAGGAGACTGGATCCCCCCTCCTAACCTCCAAGTTTCATTACCCAACAAGGATAATAGTTTACTCTGATTTGGGACAGGGAAACTTACTTGCAAAACTAGAGGGCCTCCTTTCTAAATGGATATTCTCAAAATCTGAAATGGATTGAAAATTAAGCCTCAAATGTGACCAGGTATTCTTAATTTTCTGTTACACCAGCTTCCATTTCTTTTAGATTCTGTCATACTGCAGAAAGCTTTCTGTTACAGTTTTGCATTCCTTTGATGTCCCTTAAGATACTAAGGGCCAATGCAGACCAGCCTAAAGGGCTGGCCTGGGGGTGGATTTGGGGAGGGGTGACCGCACGCTGGCCGCCCCGACTCCACCCCGTGCCGCACATCCATCTGCACTGCGTGGCATCAGGGCGCCCTCTTGGCACAGCGTGCACACATGCTGCACCAAAAGGGCACAAAAGACCAATGGCTGCAGCTCAAAGGGTAGCATTTTGCCGCCTCCAAAAGAAGCGGCATTTGCTCACTCTTTTGGGGGTGGCAAAAAGGAGGATCAGGGCTGTGGCATGTAGTTGTCATGGCCCTGATCCATCGCTCCCAGGGGTG